GAATACAGTTGGTTGACTGTCTGGGACAAAGGCAGAAATTATTTCCATAAGCGCTGGAACCTGGGGTGTACATTCCCATGAGGTTCACTCCGTCCCGAATATTTTATAGGAGACTAAAAGACCTTCTGTAACCTGGAAAAACTACTGGAGAAAGTTGATTACAGACATCGTTGGAGCCAGCGCGTTGAACAAGATAGTTATCCCCTCAACCATTTTCCTCTTCACAGAAGCAAATTTCCCAGGAAAAAGCGGCATTTGACGTCAAGAAATATATTCTACCAAGCATACCTTCATCAGAAAACGCGTAGGATCATTGCTGTGTGGAAAGAATGGTACTGCGGGGACTGACTAGATGATATGGCCCATGCTTAACACTCGGAGGCAAGGCCTATGTCCGTATTCAGAGTGGGGTGATGTCGGTTTGTGGTTTTGTTAATGCCAGCTCAACTCATACCGATATCACTTAATCAAATCTCGTAGGGATATAAGTTTAAGGGCGATATAGAACCTATCCTATAACTTTATTATGTTTTATTGTTTTCTGTCCACGTTGGTTAACTCTCTCTCTCTCTCTCTCTCTCTCTCTCTCTCTCTCTCTCTCTCTCTCTCTCTCTCTCTCTCTCTCTCTCTCTCCCTCTCCCTCACTCTCTCAGCAGAGCCTATCGAACAGTAATATTTACTAATGAGAAAATCTTTAATGTCTCCAAATAATATCGTTGCTTTTTCAAGTATGGTACATAGTCGTAATTAAAAGATGGCCTCCGTATAGGTCATCTAAATATTCATCATCTGTTAGGCAAGCTGTTCGAGTTATCAGTTATACTCTGTAATCAGTTTCATGTTTTTGGAATTACAGAAAGTGGCCTCAATGACAAAATTAACGTCAAAGAAATTATCAGTAATTCGAAAAGACACGCTGAAAAAAAAAACAGAAACTGCTATAGTAGTAAATTTTTCAAATTCTCTTAAATATTCCCGTAGATTTGATCTAAAATCAGAGGCTATCGATTGTGTCTGGCTGGAAGTCAAGCCGTTCAACCAGAAATCACTTTTCATTTGTTACTTGTATCGAATAGACTATAAAAGACTAAGTTTCCTTAAGAGTCGCGCTTTACGCCTGGTTTCAGATAGAAAACATGTCGACACAAATACTCTATAGCCACCTAAGACTTATGCCGTTTAGTAAACGTTTAATTTTTAACAAGGCTAAATTTATTCATAACATTTTATCTCAGAGTACGTCAAGCTACCTTTTCCAGTTGATTAAATCCAGTCTTACGAACAGCGAGCTGCTAAGTTTATTTCATTTGCCTAAACCTAGAATACATTTATCTAAAACAACCTTAGCAAATTCTGCTTCTCATTTATAGAACCATCTTCCACTTGATCTGAAACATGCAAAGAGTTCCTATTAATCTAACCGCAAACTTTTCAGTTCATGATTACAAGTGATTATTTGCCATCCTAAATGTAATTATTAGCCTATATTGCATTATCAATTTATAATTACATAAAGTGTGTATGGTATGTATGAATAAGTGTATGTGTGACATGTAAATTTGTAGTATGTATTGTGACATGTATATGTATAGCATTTATGTGTAGACGTGTTTGCGTATGTAAGATTCTGTGTATTCACAAGGTCCGACAATTAGGTAGTGAGACTAATTCCATAAAAATTAAAATAATCAACATTTGAAGATATAACCTGTATTTTATTTAGTGTAAGCTCCTTGTGCATTGTTACAGCAAGTGGCACGATCTAACAAACACTGGAACAACCTCTGTAGTTCTTCTGTTGTTATGGCCCCTAAAGTCGATGTTACAGCCCTTTGGATATCATCAATATAGTCAAAGAAGCCTCCATTCAATGGTAACTTTAATTTTGGGAATAGAAAGTAACCACAGGGAAACAAATCTGGGAAATATGGTGGAAGGTTGAGAACACCCACTTGTTTTGGGGCCAAAAATTCCTGTTTCGATGATGTGTCTTGGGTACTCAACCCGCTGATGTTTTTGGTCATCAGACAACAAATGCGGTACAACCCTGTAAGGACACATTTTTTCTTGCCAAAATCTTGCACTAAAATTTTACGAATTATCTCTCTATTAACACCAGATTCATCTGCCATCATCCTGACAGTAAAACAACGATCTTCTTGTATCTGTTCTGTGACTTTTGCAGTTAGATAGTTCATCATTACAAACAGAAACTTGGCGTCCAGGTCTAGTTGCATTAGTTATCATTTCTACACAACTTTGGAATTATGAATACCATCTGAAAATCTGTGCACCAGCATAAACTTGTCGCATCAATTCAACTGTCTCAACGGCGCTTTTTCTAAGTTTTAAACATAATTTAATGTTAGCTTTTCGCAACAATGCCCATCTAACTAGGTCAATAAAATGGCAGCTTGTTTGTCGTCCGCCTATCAGGCAGCGATGCAAAGTTGCCAGATCATAGATGAAGGTTGCCTCTTTAGATTTCATGCTTTGCTTTATAGATGGCACTTTTGTCTTGGCCTTAATAAAATCAGTCTCATTACTTAATTGTCGGACCTTGCATGAGCGTTTGCACGGGAAAATGTAAAGGGGATTATGTGTGTCTGGGTTTGCGAGTGTGTGTGTGTGTGTGTGTGTGTGTGTATGTATGTGTGTATGTATGTGTGTCAGTGTGTGTGTCTGTGTGTGCGTATGACTTTGTGTGTGTCTGTGTCTATGGGTGTGTCTCTATGTGTGTGCGTCTCTGTGTGTATGTGTGTGTACAAGAATGTGTGTATGTGTGAGTGTGTCTACGTGTGTATGTATGTTTGTCGTGTGTGTGCCTGCTTATGTTTCTGTGTGCTTCCGCGTGTGTGTCTGTATTGTGTATGTGTGCTCGCCAGTGCCTGTGTAGATGTTTGTGTGTGTGTGTGTCTGCCTGTGTGTCTGCAAGTGTGTGTGTCTGTATGTTTACATCTGTGTGTATATGTCTCTGTGTGTGTATGTCCTTGTCTATTTGTGTGTGTGTGTGTCTTCGTGTGTGTCTGTGCTTGTGCGTTGGCGTGTGTGCATGTATCTGCGTGAGTGTCTGCGTGTTTCTGCCTGCGTGTGTCTTTGTGTTGGTCTGCATGCTGGGCTGTTTGTGTGTGTCCCTCTGTGTGTATGTTTGTGTGTGTGTTGGCGTGTGTTAGTGTGTGTTTCTCTCTGTGTGTGTCTGCGTGTGTGTCTATATGTGTGCCAGTGTATGTTTGTCTGTGTGTATCTGCCTGTGTGTCTGTGCGTTTTTATCTGTGTGTGTGTGTCTGCGTTTGTATGTTTGTGTCTGCTTGTGTGTTTTCACGTTTTTGTGTCTGCCTGAGTGTCTGCGTGTGTTTCTGAATGTGTTTGTGTCTGTGGGTGTGTGTCTGTTTCAGTGTTTTTCTCTGTGTGTGTGTGTGTTCATGTGTGTCGGTGTGTATCTGCGTTTGCGTATGTCTGCTTGTATGCCTGTACATGTGTGTGTGTGTGTGTCTGTGTATGTGTGTTTGCGTATTTGTGTCTACCTGAGTGTCTGCGTGTGTGTGTCTGCGTGTATGTCTGTGTGTGTGTGTCTGTGTGTGTATGTGTGTGTGCGTGTATGTGTCTGTGTATATGTGAGTATCTGTGTCTGTGTGTGTCATTGTTGTGTATGCGTGTGTTTATGTGTGTCTGTACATGTGTCTGCGTGTGTGTCTGTAAATGTCTGTATTAGTTTGTATCGTTGGGTGTCTTTCTGCGCGTGTACAGACAGGTAGGCACCTATTATTAAATTGTTTTTAAAAACAGTGATTTATAATATAATTAATAACAGGGATTAACTGTGATATTAATAAAAAAATAATAGAGAAAATAATAGGATTAGTACAAATGGCAACAATAATAGCAATGATAATAGTAAAAATGATAAAAAATAATTTCAGTGATTAAAGTAATAATGATAAAAACAATAATGATAAAATTATGTCAGTGATAATAATGATAATACTATAAGTGACACAAACAATAACAACAACAACAATAACACCAATGATAATAATGATGAAAAAAATAATGATAATATCAATATCAATGAATAAAATGATAATAAAAACAAAAATGATAATAATGAAAAAAAAATAACAGTGTTAATGATGATGATGGTGATATGGGTGATAAAAATGATGAAAATAATAATAAAAGTGATAAATATAATTAGAAAACAGTATATTAGTGTTAACAATAATAATGACAGCGATTGACATTATTAATAATAACAGGGATTATGATGATTATAATAATAACGACGACAATAATAACAACAGTGAAGAGAATAGCAACAGTAAACATGATAACATTACATGATAATAATAACAGTGATAATACTGGGATTGATGACGATGATGATGATGATGATGATGATGATGATGATGATGATGATGATGATGATGATGATGATGATGATGATAACAACAACAGTGGCAATACTAAAGACAAATGTCAGCTATAATAATATTAATAATAATATCATTGGTGATGATGAAGTTAATAAAAACAACAATAATGATCATGATAATACTAACAGAGACAACAATGATAAAATAATATTGGTGATAATAATACTGATAACAGTAACAAGAACAAAAGAAATGATGATGATGACGATAATGATGATGATGATAGAATTTCAGTCATAATAATGATGATGATAATAATTATAATAACATAAATAATTAAAAAAAAATATTAAAAAAAAAAAAACACAGCAATAATATTAATAATCGTTGAAAAAATGATAAATGCAACCCAAGAAAAAAAATTCATCTCAGACTCTATCCAATGTTAAAGGGGTGGCGTGGTAAGATCCCTCCCCCCTTAAAAAATGTGTTTAATGGTGAGGCGAACAAGCCCCCAATTTTCCAGCGCCCCTGATGCACTCTCAATATTGAAAACACACACATAAAGAAACATTGAGACTTACTGCTGGCCGTACAATCCTTCAGCCGTGTATTTTCAGCTCCCAGTCACTGGGACAGCTGCCTCAGCTCGTACAGGTCCTCCGCCTTCTTCTTCCGTCTGTTTCTACGAGCCAGGAGGATGGCGTTTGCCGTGTACAAGAACGGGTTAAAGGCCGAGTTGGCTGGCAGTAGAAAGACGGTCGTCACGAGATACATCTCTCCAGGCACAGGCTGGCCAGATCTGGCTGCTAAACCCATAACAGTGATAGGGAACCAGCAGAGGCAATCTGTGATCACCACTAGGACCAGTCGTTTGGCTATGGCAGTATCCTGTTTAACCCTCGCCTCGGAAATTTGAGGGTGTTTTTGTAGATGTACAGATAAGTATATTAATACTTGGCCCATGGCAACTAATAAAAACACGGCCATATTGAAAAGTATAAAAATAGCAAAAGCATAGTCGTATCCAGGAAAGTGGAGGCGAGTTATGGGAAGTGGGACGCCTACGGCTTTCTGGGAGTAGAGTTCCCAGTGTTGGAATGGTGGAAGTAGTGGAATTGTAGCCATGAAAAGTCCAATTGCCCAGACCAGGATACATCCCACTGTTGCAGATTTGGCGTTGAAGTGAAGCGCTGGATGTAAAGGAAATGCAATTGCTAGCAACCGGTCAACGGTCACTAATAAAATAAACAAGGCAGACGTCTCACTGGACAGCAGGCATAGAAACCCTGCAACCTGACAGGGAACGCTGGTTTTCCATTCCCGTTCTGCCAGGAGATAACGATCACGGTACATCATATCAGCGGAACCGATAATCACTAAATAAATTCCCATGATCAAATCGGAGGCGCTCAAGCAAGTGATGATAATTCGGAAGCTGTATTTGATACCCCTGTCGTAGAAAATTCTGTAGACAATGACGCCAAAGTTTCCCGTGATGGTCAGCATTGCCATCAGCCACAGGGCGACGCGGAGCAACAGAGTCCGCAGAATGTCTTCACAGGAGGAGATTTCGTCGTATGGCGCGTCGCAATCCGAAAACTGAACACTGCTTGGCTTGATAGTCGGACAACATAACCGGAAGTTGTCGGTGACTATACTGCGCAGGTTCTTTTGAGAGCTGAAAATATCCATCGAAAAGGTCACGAGTTCATTTCCTTTTAGATCCAGCCGTTTCAGTCTGATGAAGCCACTGAACGCTTTGGGCGCGATAGTACTGATCTGCATGAACTGAAGAATTAGCTCTTCCAGCTTATCAGCGGCGTAGAAGCAGCCGTCTTCCAGAGTGTTTTTGATGTTGTAGGAAAGGTCCAGTTTTGTCAGCTCCCGGGTATGCTGCAGAAAGCTAAACCTGACGTTGTTTAACCTGTTGTGGGAAAGAACTAAAACTTTTAAACTGTGGCAGTCCATGAAGGCATTCTCTGGTAAATACTCCACATGGTTGTGTCTGATGTCAATAATCTTTAAATTGATATAGTTTAAGTATTCTCGTCTAATATTTCTCACGTTGGACGAGGAAACATTCAGGTATATGAGACTGTATAGTGCTATTCCTTTAAAACGTAGGTCAGGTATGTCTGTGTTTTGTAGTCGAAGGTATCGGACAGGTGTGGCAGATTCAAACACAGGGTAGGATGAACAGGTGACTTCCATCCTGCTGCACTTGCAGTTTTGTGGACAGCTAATGTTCTGGAGGCTGCACAGCAACTCGTCATCGTGATTGGGACACTGGTAGTAGCCGTCACACAGGTGGTTACTGTGTACACATACATGTGTGTACTTACACCTGTACATTCCAACACAAACCTTCTCGCACAGTTCCGGACGCTCATCTTCTCCATTGGGACAGTCGACCATGTTGTTGCACCACATGTACACCGGAATACAGTATCCTTCTGAGCACTGAGCATGCGTAGGGGGGCACAACTCTCCCGTCATTGATTTTATTTCAAACTTTCCGTAACCATCAGGGACGACAATTCCTGGAGGAACTCTGTTCTTGAACAGGTTTTCTTTGAACACACTCTCTGGAGCCCTTCTGCCCTTTAAATCCCGGATAGGACAATCCACTTCAGTATCGTTTTGCCAGTTCCTAGGCAGACATGCAATCATGGGACACAGAGCGCTACCGGCGACACATTCATTGCAATCCTCTTCGTCAGAAGCATCTCGACAGTCCTCTCTGGCGTCACACAATTTCGATCTCTCTACAATCATCCCGTCCGTGCAAGTGGTCAGCTGTGGCCCAAGGACGGTCTTGTCTAGTCCAGCACAGGACTTCTCATCGCTAGAGTCCAGACAACCATCAATACCGTCACACACAAAAGTGTAGGCCAGCAAGCCTTGTGTGTCACATGAAAACATCGTGTCTGCCAGGTATTCATAGTCACAGTCCAACTCGTCGCTTCGGTCAAAGCAATTACCCACCTTGTCGCAGCGTTGTTCTATGGAAATATATTCGCCGGAATGACATTGGAAGACACTAATTTTCTTCTCAATCATACCGTTAATAGGAGTGGTGCGTCCCGGATTCCACGTTGACACATTAATCGTTTCAGAATCTTTGCTTTCAATCATTTCTAAATCTTTTAACTGCCTCTCGCAAATGAAGGAGACGTTCTCCTTGAGTGCTCCACAGTCTGTGGAGTGAAAATAGTTCCCATGATAGACGGAGCACGTTGACCAGCCCTCGTATCTGTACTCGTCTGGCAGGTAGAAGGCCGCAGTCCCGTCTGTCCACTGCCACATCCGGCGGTACATTTGTGGTACCTGCTGCATGCGCATGCGTTGTAACCCCAAGAAAATCACCGACAGGCTTGGTCCGAGAAATTTGATGAACTTATCCACAAATCTCTTCTGTGTAGTAGTAGTGATAGTTACCAGGTGCGAGGAGAGATTGCGCTCACAGAACTCCTCGGCCATTGTCCACGAGATGGACGGCTGGTTATGCACGACTTGGTAGCACTGACCTCTCACTGCATATCCTCGCGGCCAGCACCCAGGTACCTTATAGTAGCATCGGTCCTCGTCTTCTCCATTGGCGCAGTCCACGTAGTAATTGCACATCATGTCATTGGGAATCTCAATGTTATTGGAACAATCTAAAGATTGGTTGTCGTACATTGGAATAAAGCGAAACTCGTCTACACCTTGGTAGGAAATATTAAATCCAATCCCTGACTTCAGACTGTCCGAATGAAACTCCAACACGCACTCGTTGCTAGGCAGCACTATTGGATACCGGAAGTTGCTGTTAGAAAGTTTGAGAACTGTCGGGAATTGTCTAGAATCTGTGGATTTCGGAAACACTTGGATCATGTCTCCTTCCCGGAGCTGAATGTCTTCAGGTTTCAGCCGAATCAGTTTTCCTTCCGAGACTGTAATGTTCCACTCACACTGGATGTCGTTAGGGTAATTCTGACCGTCGGCCAGACCTGGGGAGGATACAAATCCTCGATCCCCACCGGAGTGGACATATTTGGTAGAGTCACACTTGTCGTACTGGAACTTGAGGCAAGGAATGATCTGCACCAGGAAATTGATCTTGTCCACACACTGAGCATTGTCCTTCAGTTTCAGTATGATTTTAGCCCTGCTGTGTTCAACAAACACAGTTTTAGCTTCCTTAATCCCACAAAAGGAACCAATCACGTGAGTCTTTCGCGTCTGCTTGTTAACATAGTCTACAGCAACTGTCAGCGAGTCATCACAGACCCCGATTGCCTCACTCCTAACCACATTCAACCCAGGCACGTTAAACTCCAAAAAGTTTAGAAGCACCTGTTCCTTTTGTTCGACTATAATTTCCAGCTCATGTGTACACCACGTTATACAACAAGTCTCCACCGTTAAGTTCAAAACTGTTGCCGTAGAAACACGAATATTCGCTGAACGCTCACAGCTAGATCTGTTTTGTATAAGGATATCCACCTTGTCTACCTCCCCTCTGTAAGGAGGAAGAGCTCCTGTAGAGAAATACATCTTCTGGTCATGCATGAAAATATCTGTGACGCCGTGGCACAGGTAACCACTCCCGTTCTCAGCTTTTTCATAAGTTGGTTGATGTTGTTCCTCCTCCTCCCCCATGTCGTAATCCCTATCCACCAGAATCTCATTGGATAGAAACACAAACGAGTCAACACTGCTCACAGTTCGACGCCTCCTATCCATAGCTCGTGTTCGATTACTCATTGAATGAGTTGTCCAGTTCGTTTGAGGTCCTGAAAACTGGTGCAGGGGCTTGCGTCTGTTTTTGCTGCGGTCTGCTGGCCGAAACTTCGAGGAGGAAGCTGGCCTAGTTAGTGTTGCCATCTTCTCTGTTGCCAATAAAGAGCTGCTTTTGACAAATGCCTCATCTCCTGTATTCGGCACCTGGTTACTTGTCTCTGTGTGCGGTTTATTTCTGCAACAAACGTTATTAGTTATAGGGGCTAGATCCTGTGCCCTCTCCGTGCTCACCGGTGTACTGCTGTCTGTCTGTACAAATACTAACACTCCAGCTATAATTACAAGTGTCCTGCACCAGTTTATCACAGTACGACACCTCATGTCTTAACGTGGTTAGACATCAGTATTATCTTCAAGGGAACTATCAACTGTTATAACTCACACGAAATCTAACAGACGCACCAAGTAAAATTCCAGATCTTAATGTAAGAAATCACATTAGTGAATGTTCCCAGACATCACTGTCGCCTACAAGGAAACTATTAACAGTTTTAACTCACACGAAATCTAGCAGACGCACCAAGTAAAAATCCAGATCCTAATGTAAGAAATCACATTAGTGAATGTTCCCAGACATCAGTCTATGACACCTCCTATACAATCACGACGTTAGCTCAAATAATTGTGTCAAACGTCAAACATTGTCCACGATATATGATAACCATTGCAAACCCTGACCGGGGAATAATGTCTTAATGACAAAAGAAAACAATCTGCGATATGTCTCCAGTTATCTGATACTATTATAATTTGCTCGGTAACTGACAATTTTTCTGGCTCGCAAATTCCCAGAATATCTGGCTAAAGAAAATTAGGACAATTCTGATTATTGTGCACAT